TGTATATATATATATATATATATATATAAATCTAATGTAATGAAAAATGCAGTTTTCTCGTAAATTCCATTCATTCCTATGTGGGTCAAAATGACCGCGATGGAAACTTTTGTTCCTTTTTTTTTATTGCACCCATTTAAATTCCTCGAATCCACAAAAAAAAAATTTGTGTATTCCCGGTGCAAGTGTGACAAAAGTAAAGACATCTTGGACCGGTACAATCAACACACGATTTTTTTTATTTTTTGGGGGGTCAAAATGACCCGAGGGATGGATGAGGGTTAACTTAATGCCAAAAAACTGTAGATGTGCACAATTATGGTTGGTTCACCCAAAAAATGAAAATTTGCTGAAACTTTACCTCAGGTCATCCAAGAAGTAGATTAGTTTGTTTTTTCATCAAAATAGATTTGAAAAATTTAGCATTACATCATTTGCTCACAAATGAATCATCGGCAATCAGTGGGTGCCGTCAGAATGACAGTTCAAACAATTGATAAAACAGATGATCGTCTTGTGAATTTACAATTCCAGTCATTAAGGCATTTTAACTTAAAACTATCATGTCTGGTCAAAACATGTGTACATGATTCATAATAATGCTTCCCCCAGTGAGAAAGTCCATCCCTGCTGTTTTGTTACATCAAAATTGTTTAGAATTGTTTTATACTGTTTTCACTTGTAAACAGTGCTTGATCTGTGCATTTTTTTCTCCTGGCCTGAGGGTTAATACATTTTTTAGCATATTTACATTTTTGGGTAAACTATTCTTTTAATATTGTTAATTTTTTATACCATTTAAAATAAAACATTTAATATTCAAAATATGGTCTACAGAAAGGTATATATTGTTATTCTTTGTTTTTTACTTAAAAAGTAGTAAACTATTTATACTATGGTATTCCATTGTACTGTATATGGGAAATAGGGTCATGATAATTGTTAAACAATGGTATGTAATTAATGATATTACATCAGATACCACAACACACCCATGGTACTGCCACAGTACCACAATGGTATTAAGTTACATGTTGGCTAAGATATTTTGCATGTTGGTTGAGATTTTAATAGTGGGATGTATTAATAAATGCTCAAAAATAATAATAAATAAGTAAATTGTTTGATCTCTCACTGCACAACCTGCCAATGTCAGAAATACAACCACCTAAAAACTGGGCTTTGAGGGTATTATACAAACAATGGGTTACTGAGCATGTCTGCTGGCAGGGCAATACATATAATTACTTTAACCATGTTTAAGTCATCATCAGTTAAGACTACCTGAGAGACAAGTGTGTCACATGCGAGGGCCAGACCGCATCCTGTGGCTGTTGTGGTCACATTAATAGTCTGAGGGAGACAAATAATGATTTAGCAGTGCAATTACCAAACACTGTCTCCTTATCTCTTACTGCTTCCTTCTTGGAGATACAGATATTGGATTTTCGATTGGAATCGAAAAAAATCCTTAAAATAGGAAACTGGTGTCCAAAAAACAAATATGACAAGATACTGAGGCTTTAGATTTTTCAGTGAAATGTATGAGGGTCATTAGCGTCAGAAGGATTTTAACATTTTTAATATAATCATATATTTTATTATCAGAGAGATGTAACAACTGAAAGTAATGTCATAAATTAAAATAAAAATGTAAGTAAACTGACAGAAAAACTGTACTTGTCGCTGTCACTGTGGCATTACCTTCAATTCTGTACTGAATTTACTGAATTTCAGGACAATTACGGTACTAATATACAATCCTTCAGGGTAGATAAGGTACAAAAGTGTGCATTTTCATTGTTCCTTTTAACAATGACAATAAAAATTGGACCCACTTTATATTAAGTGGCCTTAACAACTATGTACTTACATTTAAATTAATAATTTGGTACAATGCACTTATTGTGTACATACATGTTTTTACATTGTACTTATATTTTAAAAATACCTGCATGTAATTACATTTGTAATTAATTTCTGTAATTACATTTATAATTATACAGTTGACCCATACCTTACACCTTAACCCACCCTTAAACCTACCCATACCAACAAACATGTTCCTAACCTTACCCATATCCCACCTCAATAGCAGCAAAAGTGTTTTGCAATACAATATGAACACAATAAGTACATTGTACTTAATTTTTGATGTAAGTACATAGTAGTTTAGGCCACTTAATATAAAGTGGGGCCTAAAAAATCTATTATGTTATTCTATTCTATTATTTGAAAGTACTGCCCCATTGGCAATCTTTTGTACCTCTCAAGGTACAGTTTTTGCACATTTATTTTCTGACAGCTCCATTAGATGGTGGATGAATTACCGCAGAGGCCAAGGCATATCCAGCCAATTCAGCATTTCCTAGGTGACCGCAGAATATCGTGATGACGAATGGCAGTAGGAAGTTTAGGATCCTGGAGATGAGCTGTGGAAGATGAAAATGCAGATATCAACAGGGAACATGAGCATACAAAAAGAAAAAAAAACAGACACGTTCACAGATCTGCATCACGTAAGAATCCTACAATAGACTATTTGAACTCCAGATTATGCTCAACAAAACCAATATTCGTTTTAATATGAAATAAATACAAAAAAATAATTTTATATATATATGGAAAAACAATTCCACTTTTAAAATCAATACAAAAAATTAATTTCATATATATGGAAAAACAATTCAATTTTTTAAATAAATACAAAAAATCAATCTATGTATTGTACATGTGTGGGTATATGTTTTATATGTGGGTATTTTTTTATTGGTTAATTAATTATGCAGATATCAACAGGGAACATGAGCATACAAAAAGAAAAAAAAACAGACACGTTCACAGATCTGCATCATGTAAGAATCCTACAATAGACTATTTGAACTCCAGATTATGCTCAACAAAACCAATATTCGTTTTAATATGAAATAAATACAAAAAATTAATTTTATATATATATGGAAAAACAATTCCACTTTTAAAATAAATACAAAAAATTAATTTCATATATATGGAAAAACAATTCAATTTTTTAAATAAATACAAAAAATCAATCTATGTATTGTACATGTGTGGGTATATGTTTTATATGTGGGTATTTTTTTTATTGGTTAATTAATTTATTTATTTGTTTGTTTGTTTGTTTGTTTGAGTACACAGACACCTAACTAGAATGAAATAGAAGGATTACAAAAATTCTTTATCTAGAATTAATAACTAAAAAAGTGAGGGACAGACCACAGGAATTCAGTTTGAAAGTCAGACAAGCACTACACAGGAGCACTAAAGCACTAAACTATAAAACAGGAGCCATCATTTACATCCTCATCAATTATAAAATAACTATACTAACTCCAACACTAATTTAAGTTACAGGCATATGTGAAAAACCAACCAGCACCCCAGAACCAGTCTCAGCTGGAACAGCTTTTGTATTTAAAGTTTCAAGTGAGTTGCAGCATTTGTGGAGTACATGAGAGAGACATGGAACAAAAAGAGGACTCACCAGGGGCCCGGACAGGCGCAGAACATGGTAGAGCTCCTCTCTGTAGGCCAGGGGAACCCAGCGACGCACACAGTTGCAGCGGAAGAGTTTAGAACTAGGTGCTGTTGCCTCGGTGATTTGTTCATGGCTTGCCAGGGGCCCGCAAGCCTCAGGCATACCAGCTTTATCCATTCAGTCGTTGAGTGCAAGAAAATAAGAGAAAAGGATGAAGAGAGAGTGAGACAGAGAAAATAATTGAAGCAATATAGGAATGAGACAGCTTCTCTGCAGCAGTGATTTTTCCAAAAATGTTGTTATCAGTCCATGGAGGCAGAAACAATCAAATCAAATAGTGCTGAGACACTGATTAAATAACCTGCTGCCTTCAGTCACTGAGGGAGCCCAAGAGAGGCAGGTCACAAACAAGCTCTTTATAATTCCCTGTATGGAGTACAGCAGCTCTGAGGGGGGCTGTAAGGGGCGGGTTAGCCTTTCATACTTCTTAAACGCAGCGGTAATCTTATCAGGAATGCCTTTGTAAATAACAGATTGTTGTTCCTTTGAGGAACCCATGCTAGAGCATTGCTTTCTAAGTTGTCAGGTTTCTTAATGTAGCATAATGTGCAGGAAAAGCTTTACTTTGGGACAGATAATCCCTAAAGAGGCCTTTAACTTGTAAACTTGGAGTTAAGTCAAGTATTGTATTTTATGTTACTTATTTTACTTGCTAAACCAAGTCCAGACTGTTTAGGTTTGAATCCCACAATGATAATATTTGTTAGAAAGTGTTTGTTTAGCTCTTGTGCAAAGAGAAAAATGTGTTTTAATGTTTGACAAACTGACCTAAATCATTCAGGTCACCTAAATATCACTACTTGTAATATACTGGCACATTACCTCTTGGTAGCTTGCCATGGATCTCCAGCACGAGGAGTTATGGTTGGCATATCAAACACAACCTTTGGTCACTAACTTGCCCATTCGGTTAAACAGTAATGCTTAACCTCTGTCAACCTAAGTCTTGCACAACCTGAGCTGTTTATTCAATAAACTATACTTTTTGTAACTAGTCAAAAAAGTGTGTTCAAATATGATAACAACTACATTTTTGTTGCTGAACAAAGATACATAATGTAATAAGATATAATATTAATAATAAAACTGCTTTAAGAATTTTTGAAAAAGAAAGAAAGAAAAAAAGAAATGTTAAATTATTGTATGTAAAGAAATATTTAATATTCTGCATGTTAGGATCTAACGTACAAAATGTGAGTTTTAAGTCATGTAATGTACAGTATGTGTGCACATCTCTATGGGTAGCAAATTAAAACAACCTTTAGCCTTTCCTGTGCAAGTTATCCATGTCTTATCTGATGTGCCGTAAGAAAAGCTGAAGACTGAAAGGCGGAATGGGAGGGGAATAGAAGGAATGAAAGACACTAACATGCAATAAAACAGTTTATCTTCTCTTACACATGCATTCCACATACAGTATGCACAAATGCATACATACAGTACATTGTATATAGTATGAACTGACATGAATACACTCACATTTTTAAGCAAAGACAGTCAACTGTGTTTATGGATGTGTAATAATGTCTCTTTTGACAAGTTCTCAAATTCTTTCCTTTGAATGCTCATTCATCAACCTCTGAGGTTGTTTCATTAACAGTATTCTACAGTGCATATTGCCGCTGTTCAAACATAAATACAGTTTTATATGTTATGACAAAAAGACAAAGGTTCATGACAGCAATTACTCTTAAAGAATTATTACTGTTGGTTATGAGGTTTCTGTTCTGTTTCAGCCATAATCAAAAAAAATCACACACAAAAAAAGATTAATACATACAGTGGGAAATATACTGAAAGTGTGACAATCAGAAAGTTAAATTTAAAACTGACTTGAAGAGTTTAAAGCACAAACAAACACACATTGACTTAAAGAGAAAAGGAATTATTAAAGATTCTGTACTATTTCTAGGTCACTAATCAAACAAGCAAATTATTGACACTGATCATGTGACTCTTTGTACAGAGGGTCACATGTTCCTGCCTCCTTTGAAGATGCTCTTTTTATCATTTTCAAATCATGATGAATAACTTGGTTTAACACAATCTTGTAAGAGCTTAAGTGCTCTTTTTTCATCTGAACTTGTATAATTAATATAGACTTGTATTGTGTGTAATCAAGTGAACTTGATCTTAGTATTATTTGTGTGTGTGTGTGTGTGTGTGTGTGTGTGTGTGTGTGTGTGTGTGTGTGTGTGAGAGAGAGAGAGAGAGAGAGAGAGAGATACATCAGTCAAATTTTTATTTGATAATTAACATCATTAGCTTACAATGGTCAAACTAGGCCCCCTGGTGGATAATAATCCGTGCCCGCCCATCATTATATTATGTAAACCACATAATACATGTTTTGTTTTCAAATTGGGGCAAAATGTGTAACCTACAGCATGCACTAGAAAAAATAATTGTTTTATAATTTCGTAAAAAACTATTAATTCAGTTTAAACCATCTGGTTGTTAACAGCTATGCCATTATATACAGTATAGAATGTTACTTAAGATAATAGTATTTGTATCAGATTTGTATTACTGTCTCATTATTTGCTGTACATGTCCAAAAAATCATTGCCCTGTGTCACCTTCACTCAACACAGATATCACATATAAACACTAAAGGAATGTATGATTCATTTTGGGTTGGGACATATCTTTTTATATTCAATGATTTTGGCATTGCCATCCATTATAGAACATTAAATTCTCTTATCACAAATGTTTTATGGATGTGAGACTATATCTTTATAGGATTTCTCTCTTTTCATCCTTCCCATTCCTTCTGGGGAGATTGAGATGACACTTAAAAGCCATTCAGCCTATTTTTGCACAACACTAAAAGGTCTGTGACCGTGAGGGGAGGTGATTTCAATTCCTGTTAAGTGCTGTAAAGCCACATAATATAAAGCATTGGTGTGAAGACGCAAGCCTCTCCAGACTTCACGCAACCTTTGGATTTGGCATTTTGCAGAGAACTGTCACACAAAGCTTTGGTAAGTAAACGGTACTGAAAATGGGCTCTGAATTTCTGGATGATTTCATATATTCTGTTAATAAAATCAAATGATTCAAGGACTTTCAAGGAACAGAAATTATTAAACGCATAGTGTACACTGAAAATTTTAAAATCTTGCCATCATTTACTTACCCTGATGTCGTCCAAAACCTGTATGATTTTTTTTTTCTTTGATGGAACACATAAGATTTTTTATTTTATTTTATTTTTTTTATGTATACAGTGGAAGTCAATAAGATCCAGAGTTTAATATTATTTTCTTAAATATTTCTGGCAAAATATGAATTCAGTTGAAGAAAATTTCCATAAATCTTTCATATATTTTTCCAGCCTTTTTTAGATGTATTTTTGTCATTCAGGATATTCCTGTTAAGTGCTGTAAAGCCACATAATATAAAGCATTGGTGTGAAGACGCAAGCCTCTCCAGACTTCACGCAACCTTTGGATTTGGCATTTTGCAGAGAACTGTCACACAAAGCTTTGGTAAGTAAACGGTACTGAAAATGGGCTCTGAATTTCTGGATGATTTCATATATTCTGTTAATAAAATCAAATGATTCAAGGACTTTCAAGGATAGTGTACACTGAAAATTTTAAAATCTTGCCATCATTTACTTACCCTGATGTCGTCCAAAACCTGTATGATTTTTTTTTTCTTTGATGGAACACATAAGATTTTTTTTTTTTTTTTTTTTTTTTTTATGTATACAGTGGAAGTCAATAAGATCCAGAGTTTAATATTATTTTCTTAAATATTTCTGGCAAAATATGAATTCAGTTGAAGAAAATTTCCATAAATCTTTCATATATTTTTCCAGACTTTTTTAGATGTATTTTTGTCATTCAGGATATCTGGCAGATGAACAAAGATGAAAGTATCGGTTAGTGTTTCTCTGCTCCTGCTGTGCTTTGTCTGTCGTGTAAAAGGTAATGTTACTACATGTTTTCAAACCCTGATGCTTCCAAGGAGATCCAAATACTGCTTGTTCTAACATTTCACCAAATGTTGTTCAGTATATCAAAACAGAAAGAGTGTTTTAACCTGTAGAGTATTAACCTGAGTATTATTATAGGACATATACAGGGAATTAACCTGTACTACAACAGTTTTAGTTTGTTATGCCTGAACGAATTGCTCAATAGTTAATTCTCTCTAAACAGCACTCACCATTGAGTCATGTCCACTGGCCACCGGGAACTTGCTTCGGACAGAGGTTGAGAAAACTCTCACTCTGACTTGTATTACTGATGAAGGTATTGACCCATCCAACCAAAATGAATTGCAGTGGTTCCGCAATGGTGCCCGGGTGAACCTGGCAGAAGAAAACCGCTGGTCCCGAAGTAGTCTTTGTGTACAGCCTGTCACTAAAGAGGACAACGGAGTTGTCTTTATCTGTCAGCTGAAGGGTGATGCAAGTGTGAACCGCTCCATCGAGTTTGACGTCCAGTGTAAGTTTAATGTTTAGAATACTTGGTGGAATAAGTAAACAAAAACATTTTGAAGGGTCAACTGGCAGGTTTGGGATCCATTTCATTTCCGTTCAGCAGTTTCAGCATGAACTCCACAATCTATTTTCATTAAATGTACACTGTTATAATGTTATATATTAAGGAATTCAAGGTTATTTTTATAACTTCATTGCGATGACAATGGGCCTCCAAACCCTAAACAGTTTTACAGTTTAAACAATAAAAATGCTTTAAATTAGTTATCAATGTAAGTATTTTAAACTAACTATAAATCTTTAAATGGGCCTTGGATTGGAATCTGGAACATTCCTCAAAAATAAACTGGAATGGAACTGAGCCAAATTCTTGTGATGAATATACTGCTGCAATATGCGAGTGGCTGGTGAAAATTTGTTGGTTTTTCAGCTTTGAATGCCATTATATTACAGATCCCCCAGACCTTAATGACACTAAGGAAGTATTTATTGAAGAAACAAGTGATGTTGTTCTGTCTTGTGATGTCCGTGCCAACCCACCTGTAACTGTGACTTGGAAAAAGGATGGTGAAGTTCTGGATCTGACCTCTGGCAGTTACAAAACAACCAATAATGGCATTACTGCTCAGTTATCAATCACAAAAGCTAAGCACGATGTACATCAAGGAACGTACATCTGTGAAGTAAATTCATCTGTCTATGGAATTATGGGCAGGACCTTTAATGTTACTGTTGAAGGTTTGTGGTCCTGTTTTATCCTTATTTGAACTTTGACTTTTTGTACTCTGTTTTACTTTTATAATTTATGTTCCATTTTTGAAAGGTATATTTAATTTTCTTCTCTATTAGATAAAGTTTTA